GGATACCCAGCGAATCCAACGAACGGGGGTAACACCCTCTGATGAAGAGAGCTCGGCTTTGGTCGAGATGGTGGGTCCAGGCTGCGAGGTAGCCACCAGGCGTGCCGCGTGTTGTTATCGTGGGGACTCGTGACTCATCTGCACTGGTGACCAACCAGGGAATGTCTTGTCTATACGGTCGCAGAATGAAACTTCTGCAGATGGTCAGGCGTGCTTCTCGGTCATGGTCAGTCGATGCATGCTGTTTCCATCGAGACTTCATTCTGCTGCAGCCCCTTCCATTCAGGTGTCGACTCATGGAGCGTAGGCTGCGTCCAGATGTTTGCTACAGTTTCCTGCTAATAGCGTCCGGATGCACTTCCTATTCATAGCGCAAGGGGTCCTCATCGAAAGTGACTGGAGGTCCATGATGAGGTCGAACTTTGCAGCTCCTATCGCCTTTGCCGATGCTATTGAGCCAATAGCTCAGTGCCCGATCAGTAGCAAAGACTGGGGCAAACATAGCGCTGATCTTGATTACCACGCTCCTTGCAACGTTCTTCTTCACTCCTCACCATCGATCATCTGCGAGCACCAGCAACAAACTATTCGTTTTTTTTTCGTAATCGCCATCCATGATTGTTGTAGAATAGCGTAGCCCCATCGTAGCTTGGCGTTTGTCATGTACTCCACAGGTCTCGGAGACGGGACATTCTGCGTAGGTCTGCGCTGCGGAGTCCGGCTCGATATTGAGTAAATCGATTAAACCTCAAAAGACATCGCTCGAGCGCTCTGTGAGCTACAGTCAAAGTCCTTGACGTGGATGCACTGCTCACCCATGTCTCAGCCGCGTAACAAAGCGCAGGAAGAACTGTAGAGTCAAACAAATGCGCACGAAGTTCTGGGTCAGCCAGATGGTTGGTAACTTCTTTCAGAGGACCGAAGGCTGCCCACGCTGCTCTCTGTCGTCTTCCTAGCTCTTCCTTCATATCGTTGTCCATGTTCATGGAACGCCCGAGATAAACGTAAGATGTGACCGTCAATCTTGATTCCGCTTCCATCGGACCAAGCGTTCTTCATGAATTGTGTCTTTTTTTGGTTGATCCGCAACCCCACCTTCTTTCCTGCTTCATTCAATTCAGCGAGCATCGTCTCAGCTTCCGTAGTGCTACTTGAGAAGAGAACGATGTCGTCGGCGAAGCGCAGATTGAGAGGTACCGTCCGTCCACACGAATGCCCTTCTCATCCCAATCGAGCGACTTCATTATCCACTGCAGCGCAGCTGTAAACAACTTTGGCGAGATAGTGTCGCCTTGTCTCACGCCCTTCCCCAAAGGGATGGTGAGAGGTCGTTCGGAAGAATTGGTTGCAGTGCAGTGACGATGGCAGTCGGCCAGTGGTAAAATGGTTGCATTCTTTCGTGCTGACAGGATCGCGTTCGTTTCTACACTGTCAAAAGCCTTCTCGTAGTCGAAGAAGGCAAGGACAAGAGGCTTTCGGAATGTTCGACACACTTCTATGATTCTTCTTTGAATGGTCGTAATTCATAATTCTTGAGTTTGTTATTGATTATTTCATTCCCTACTTAATTATCCCGTTGCGCATTTGAGCTTCTGAAACATCCTGGCTGAAGGTCCTGATGTGTTCTTCAACATATCAACTTATTTCATTATGAAGTTAATTTGACATGAAGAAATTGAACTGATACAAAGGTCGGCCAGGAATTATGGGATAATCCGAATATATTTAATAGGATTGTTATGATACCGTATCTATGAAAAATGTAGTGAATATATAATATATAGATAGCCCGGTCACCGAAAATCACGACATACACTGCGTTTCATAATTATAGGTCCACCCTAAATTTTTGCTATTCCAAAGTTGCTGTGCATTTTTGGAAAATGCCGCTATTACCAATAGTTTCCCCATAACGAAAAACCTTGATACTGATTTCTGGAGAAATCTCGATTCAGAATTATTAAAATATCTTTTTAGAACGTATTTTCACCGTTTCGCAAATATGACTACACATCACTTGTCGAGAGATTTTATTATAACAAAAAAACGTCACAAATTTTCAATAATGGGATGGTCCTCCATTAGTCATAAGGAACACAATAATACGTTTTGGAATGCTTGTAACCAAGTTAGCTATTACATTTATCGAAATTTGCCTGTGGGCCGATAATCGACGTTTTCAGCTCTTCCACTGTTCCGTTTTGATTTTCCTCGCTGTAGAACTTTTTTACAATAAGGCCCAATGATACTTGAAATCTTATTTAGAGAACATGAAGCAAAGCATGAGGGATTCATGCCGAAATTACATTGCTTTAATACCATCTGCGATTTTTCCTGTACCCTCTTTTTCTATCAGATCCACCTAGAATAAACTTTTTCACGTCGATCTCAGATCACCTGTAGCACGAAACAAGGAGGTAGAGTCCAAGATCGCGAAGGGTCTTAACAGCCACACCTTCGCTCATTAAGTTGAGCCCTTTTCCACGGAGAAATGGAGACGTGCGATCTTGTAGCGCTCAAATAATCTTGGAACGCTCTTCATCAATCCGCTGAAGATGTTATTGCTCTGCTGGCTTACTCACCACACGGTGGTTTTGCTCACGGAAGGCCGCATTTCAGCACGGACTTTGTTCGGACTCCTTGTATAATTCGACAGAAGACGCCCAATTCCTCTTGAATCTTGAATGAAAAGTCTTTATTTACCACGACTACTCTTCTTTCCGCACTGACCAGGATTTCGCACATAGTTGCTTATACAGTATGAGCCAGGGTGAATATCGGTCGAGGAAATCCTCGACAGGGGGGTCGTACCTGTTCGGGCTGGTCCATGGGGGGTCGTACTCTTGGGGGTCAGTAACAGCAGTGGTATCGTGGTGCAGATAGGTAAGAGGGTATAGCGCAGCAGAAAATGAAAATATCTGAAAAAAACATGATATTAAATTTTCTTTGCAGGTTCAGTCGCTCCATTCCTCCACCTTCATGAGAAGGGCGTATTTGAAGGCAGTACAAAGAATGAAAGTGCATCCCCGCAAAGAAGACTGCCACATGTGCGCACGCGCTGCAAAGGCACCTCCTCTGCCTATCGCTCCTTCTCCCTTAATACCTCGCTGAGAATGACACTGTTGTTAGGGACCCTGTCGCAAAAACGACAACCGTGAAGGAAAAGCCCTGGGCAAATGAAGTTGTTTCTTTAGGTTGTAGGAGTTACGAAATGTGTTTACTACAATGCAGCTTCTGTCAACTGGTCATGATCATATAACACCTTCAATCGATTCTGCAACTTCGAGTGAGGTCGGATGCATGGCCTATACCCAGACAAAATTCGATGATGACGATTGCCCCTTTTCCTATTGCTTATGTTGGGAGGATGTTTTCTAGACCCATTTCAAGCGTTGCCAACAATTACACTTGCAATGGTGAAGGAGGGAGCGGATTTTCAGGTGGCCGGATCCGTCCTCGATACATACTCGACGCAGATATCTTCTCAACTAGGAAATGTAGAAGAAAGCTAAGAAGACCATCAGAAAGCGCAAACCTTCCGCTTTCCAAAACTATCTTCCCTTTTTCAGGATCTTACGAATTAGAGAGATATTGCTTTTGAAGTGGCAAAAACTCGCATGAAAATTTCAGCGTCCTCGACGTTTACTCGACGAAATTTGAGAGACCCTATCTTTCTGCATGGAAGGCTTTCAGAGCAATTTCAATACTTCTTGGAAACGCGAAATCCAGCTCTATCTAACCCTACCTCAAACTGCTTCAAAGGTTATGAAATGGAGGAATGCAACCTTTTCATCGAGGGTGTAGATTTCGACGGTTTTTTTTTGGGATTTCAGCAAATCTGACCCAGTGACAATCGCGCCGCAGCTGCCGTTGAATTGATACACTCGGCTGTTTGATATACTCAAGCAGGAATTAAGATTAAATCGCAACCCCGTGCCTTCAGGATTTCTGTGCATTTCTGAACGAACCTGACTTTGAGGTCACACAAAGTTAATGCCTCTTTCCTCGAGTCGATATTTCAGTAAATACACAAAAGTGTGCAGCGATGAAAGACAGTGCATAGATGACAAGATGAGGCGTCCATAGCATTATTTTGCAGAATTTTTTTGATTTATTTTGCAGGATTTATTTTAATTGAATTAATTTGCTCTGTTAGAGGGGGTCGTGCCAGGATCTCGATTTCGGGGGGGGGGGGGGTCGTACTTCTGCGACCACGTACTCGACATGCTCTGGTATGAGCCGGCCGATATGGGAGGCTGTTCTGCTCCTCAGCCATCCACTTCAGTAAGTGCTCTAGCTTGAGCTTGTTACTGGGAAGAGAGGCGAGTAACACGAGGTATGGTAAACTCGATGTCGACTGAGCTCACATATATCCCCGCTTCCCTGATTCCCTTCACGGATCATGAGAAATGGAAACTTTTTATGAGTGGCCCGATATTCATGAAACGGTGAAAATTCGTTCTAAAAAAGTTAATTGGGTTACTTGAGGGGGGAATTTGTCAGAAAAACACTATGAAGGTTTTCCGTGATGAGGAATCTAACGGTGATAGCAGCATTTTCAAAAAATGCACAGCAACTTTGGGGTAGCAAAAATTTAGGGTGGACCTATAATTATGAAACGCAGTGTACAATAACCGGAAATATTGTGGTAACTGTTTGCCCTTATTACTCAGGACAGCAAGGCTATGAAAGCTCTCGAGGCTCGTAGGGTTTGTTCTTGTTCTTCATCGTCTTCCTATGACTTCGCTGTGGAGGGACGAACCTTATATCTATAACGACTTCACTAATCGACGTACCAGCACAACAGCTATGCAACTCGCTTACACCCTCAGAGTACACTATAACTATTGTATGGTTCAGAATTGAAAAGTGATCAGAAGGAGAAAAAACGCATCACAAAGACTTGCGATGTCTCTCAGCACTAGGTGACATTCGATGAATTGAGTTTATAATGTTCGTAGAACAGCGAAACCGGATCAAAATCATGGAGTGAGGCACTTACTTCCACATATGTAGTTGATACAGGAAAGCAATGTGAAACACGTTTTCCTGAGATGTCCAGTTACTCCTAATGCGAAGGCAAAACAGCAGATGAAGGTACCGGTGATATGTAACAAGGCTGGCAAACCAAGCCTCACTGAAAATGAATAGATAAATTGGAGACAATTGCAGAATCGATTTCAAATTGCAAAATCAGTGATGTGTCTGTCTTGCTTCTCGTGTGTTTCCAGGAGAGAAGTACCATAATGGATCGTTCTCTGTCATTTTGGGAAGGAACCGTAGATATTGGAATGGAAATAGGTTAGGAGGGATGACTTACATGCAGAGGATTCCGTAAAAAGTGGATTTTCTGATAAAATCGAAGGATTCTTGAATATCCTGCTAACTGTCTCACATTAAGCAATAATGTAGTGTGACAAATTGAATTGCGTGTCCCGGTCATAACGAAAACAACATTGGGAGCAGTGGAACATAGTCAAGATCTCAGCGTCCGCTCTGTGGCTTAGTCCATAGCTCTAGACCTAAAGTTTCATAAAGAGTACTAGCGTGGAGTTTGGCAAATTACTGAAGCCAAACTGGTGACTATGATCATAATCAAAAGGCTTATCCAATGCATCAATGAGAGCCGTGATATACAGCACGCTTCATAATTATAATGTCATCGTCAAATTCGCATTTCCGAAAGAAGCAGCGGACCGAAATTTTCCATTGTAACAGATGATTCCCCTCCATGAAAGGTACTTGTATCGATAATCCTTGTTTTAACGATATAATGAATGTTCTCTTTTAACTCTTCTATGATTATTTTTTGGTTTTTGCACTCTTCCATAATTATAATACAGTGTGGTCAGAACATACGGTAGCAAGGGCGTATCGCACAGGACTGTTATTAAAACGGTTGATACGATGTTCGTTCTTGAATTTTAGAGCTCAAAAAATATCTAGTTTGGATTTGAGCTCTTAGCTCTTCACGAAATAGCGATTCGACTGCATCGTCAGCGTATTTGGTGGTGTTACGAATCAGGATCTTTAGGAAACCTGCAACAACCGTCATTGCGAGGAACAATCGACTAGATGCTAGAACCGATTTGATACACGTGTAAGAGAAGCTTCTGTCGTTACCAAGAACAATACTGAAGAAGTAGGCGCGAAACAGGATGGACTCTAGCACATTCAACAAAGCCCTCCAGTGGGGCGAGTAAACTAAAAAAAAAGGGAGCAGGGCAAAGGCTTTGCCTCAGTTCAGTATTACTAACCTCTCCACTGATGAGGAAGCATTCACAGTTGGGTTAGTTTTGAATAGATAGAGCGACAACAAGAGCACTGCAAGAAATGCTCAATATCAGTCATCATTAGGTCTGGAAACACTAAAGGTTTTTGCGGTGATCTAACCGAAAATCATGTAACTTTTGGCTTTTTTTCATGAAGCATATAATATATAGAAGAGAAAAGGTTGTCTCGAGATTTTCTCATTCAAATAATTGCTCAAACCAAGAAAAGAAAAAACAACTCCATTGAATATTTCCGTAGAACTGGTAACTGGTACAGGAGGAAACTAGTGCGAAATTCTTGTCGCCGAACTGCCCCAGAGAATATTGCGTTCGGAAAGTGACCACGGAGAGTTTCCACTCAAATCTACTAGATCACGCTGTACGAAGAGTGGGAAAAATGAGCACCTGCTGCTGACATCATGGAGACGTTAATGGATTCAAGAAACCGCTTCATAATGCCTGGAACGCACTCGAGGCCGTCTGTCAACACGCCGCGGTCAGTTTATTGGAAGACTTCACTTTTTCTCTGAAGCGGATTTTGGCTACTTAGGAAGAAAACGCAGTTTTTGTTTAATAACCGTTCAGGGAACATGCTTTTGTTTTATACTTGCCTTTTTCTAGTTGTACAGATTTTACATGACCGCTTCATCATGTTTCTGTAACCTTATATTTACACTGCGACACAAAATTGTACTTCCACCTACAAAATTCCCAAAAGCTTGCCTCCGAAGATGTTTCAGAAAAGGCTTGGGAGGAATTGTGATACAAATAAACGCAATTCTGGATATCAGCACAATGATCAAACCCGGGAGAGCACTTTTTTAATTTTCATTCCTTTGAAAATGCTCCTCTGCCTATGGCGCAGAATTATACTTCCACCACTTTCTTCGCTGCATTTTATTTTACCCAATCAAATTTTGAAATTATTATCCCTTCAAGTTCCTTAGGTTATGGCAAAAGCAGCAGCTGTCAGTTTTCCTGTAAGGAAAAACCTTAGCGAAAGAGGCGCAGGCGTTGCCGAAGTGCCACTTCACGCTGGAATTTGGTGTCACTTTGTAACGAACAATGCAAGCAACCCTGATTACTATTCGGCCGAGATGGGAGCCGCATCATAAAAAATTAAAACATGTTCATAAAGCCCGGTAAGGGAATCAAAAATTCGTCGAAGTTAATGTTTCAATGAAAACACTTTAACGTATTTCCATACCCTTTATGATTGTTCATGTCTGCGAAATAACAATTACACTTTTCATGTAACAAACGAGCCGTTCTCCTTAGAAAATTTCGTCAAGTCGAGTGAAGTGGTGACATTCTTTCATTTGTCTTTTTTGATTTGCGTCTTTCTTTCTCTTAACGTTTTTCTTTCTCAGATCGGTTTTCTACTTCGTAGCACACATGTATGGAGAAGAAAAAGATCAGGAGATGGTCAGAGGACTTCAAAATATCACAGAAAAAAAGTGTCCTCACACTGCGCGACTTGGCGAAACTTTCAAAGAAAAACAGCTCGTTTTTCTCATTAATCTTTTCACGAAAAGTGTCATTTTACATCATCATCATTTTACAGACATGGACTAGCGTAAGCGTTTTGGAGTACACGTTAAACTGCTTCCATTGAGACACTAACTTTTGAAGAAGTTTTGATTTCCGTACCGGCTGGATAAAGTTGTATTATTTTCTCACGATACGGCGCTTATCTCGGTCGGATAGTAATCAGGGTTCCTCCCAGTATCATATCCTGTAGCATCCTTGAGAAAATTGTTCGTTATGAAGTGACCCCGACCAAATTCCAGCGTGAAGTGACACTTCGGCAAGCCTGCGCCTCCTTCGCTAAGTTTGTTACATAAGTATGACAGCTGTTTTGCTTTTGCCAAAACTTAAGGAACCTAGAGGGATGATAACTTCGTGTTTTATGATCCACACAGAAAATTTCAACCTTCAGCTCAAATTTGGGTTTAGAAAATTTTAGATTTTTCGAAATTAATGAAGGCAGGTGAAAGATCACTTGATCCGTTTATTTGATTTAAATAATGTATAACCCAACAGAACAGTCAAGTAAACAGTCACTAACATTAAGCAAGTCTAGCACATTGCCCAGAACTCTCTAAAGTATTGGATACATAAACTGGATTTGAATGCGGGGTCAACTAATGAACTCACTCTCTAGTGGGGTCTCTCTCTGTAGTCCCGTCTTTTCGTGGCTCTTTCATTGACATACGAATTTGTAGGTCCTCCCTAGTGGTTCTGTAATGTTTGGCTCAAGAGTCTGGCCTGGCTGGTCTTTTAAAAGCACCCCATGCTGTCGAAACCACTCCTGCATGTGAGAGTTCTGGGCAATGTGCTAGACTTGCTTAATGTTAGTGACTGTTTACTTGACTGTTCTGTTGGGTTATACATTATTTAAATCAAATAAACGGATCAAGTGATCTTTCACCTGCCTTCATTAATTTCGAAAAATCTAAAATTTTCTAAACCCAAATTTGAGCTGAAGGTTGAAATTTTCTGTGTGGATCATAAAACACGTAGTTAATAATTGTTGCAAATTTGGAGACGTTCCAGTGACTTTCAAAAGAGAAATCATGAAAAAACCGTTTGTTCATAAATTTCTGGCCACTACTGAATATATACAGGGGTGGCCAAAAAAAGACACTTTGCCCATGGCGCACATCATCGAACTTTTCGTCGCACAGGGAGCCGATGTTAATGAAAGTTTTACGGCGGAATATTCCTTAGGTGTTAAACAGAAGCAGGCCCTCCTTCACTGCCCCGCCGTCTTCAGAATATGACGTCATCTGCCGTCACCGTCGAGCTCAACGAGGCTTACCGTAATCGCTCCGGCCTGAAGCTGCTACATAATTTCTTCAATGGATTAACTGGTGAATAGCTTCTAGAGACATTAGCTGTGACTATGCAAGACCGCTTTTGACCAGCGTTTCAGGGACGTCGTAATGGTCTATGGTACCTCGACGACCTCGTTGAGCTCGTACCGCTTCCGTGGGAAAATCTTCTGATGTCGTCGGTGTAGAAGGCTGTCATGTAATTTTAGATAGATTAGAATGTGCTCTTCAATACTGAGTTGGGGCAGTCGATTTGATTTTAGCAAAGTGTGATTAATGCTGTCTGAAATGTGGAGTGAAGTGTCTCTTTTTTTTGGCCACCCCTGTATACAGGGTGGCTACTAAATATTGGCGCATGGTTTATTGATCATATTTCCAAAAAGAGAAGCTATTATATCTTCAGAAGTTTATTTTTATACAATAAAACATGAAAATTCATTACCAAAGAAAGTGCTCGAGATGGCCTCCTTTGGTAGCGATACAGGCTTGAAGTCTCTTTTCAACTGACATCACCGTGGGCCGCAAGTAGCTGACGTCGGCGTGACGTGAGTAGATCTTCAGACCAGAAGTGGCGCACGATTTGCAAAACGACAGGCAGTTGTTGGATCTGGCTAGCAGACATTCTGCTCGACCTTGTGTACACACAAGGAACCGTTTTTCAAATTTGTCATGGTTTGGGCAGGAATTACTTCTGAAACCATGACACCGCTTGTCTTTGTGGATGAATACATCAAAGCCAGCGCCCAGATCTACCCGGAAACAATTTTCACGTAATGCCCTTCTTCCAAGGACTCTTTTGACCTTCAGCGAACGTCATTGCATTCTTCAGCAAGACAGGGCGCCTCCACATGCCGCAAAATCAATGCTGGAGAACTGTGACCGTCATTTTCCAAGTTACCGGCACAAAATGTTTGGCCATCTAAGTCGCCCGATTTGAACCAATTGATTTGGCGGTGTGGGGCTTCTTGAAGCAGAAGATGCCTTCTGAGCAACGTCGAAGTTTGGACTCCCTGAAGGCTTCCTTGGAGGAG